TTTTTTCTTTAAAAACTCTTGTTTTGTATTTGTAAAAATGTTGCTGTATAATCCAAATATGTATTGTTAACTTCAGATAGAAGGCCATACAATTTTTAAGTTTTCACTTATTATTTGGAAATAATTTCAAGCTTGCAGAAAAGTAGCAAGAATAGTACAAAGAACACTTATGTAACCTTTACTCAGATTCACTTGTTACTGTTTTACCTGTTTAGCACTTGATCTCTCTACACACACATAATATCTTTTTCCTGGACCATGAGGGTAATAAATGTCGTACATCATGGGTCTTTATTCCTAAGCACACAGCATGGAAGACCATATAACTTGTACAGTTTAGCTTATTTACTTGCCTGGAATGCAGGTCTAGGACAGAGTGGCTTAGTCTGGTTTTCAGCAAAGATAAAGGATTTCAAAAATACCTAAGATGGCCATCAGACTTCTTAGTATATAAACAACACAGAGTGAGGCTGAGTGGTTTTCCTGCCTTAGGATCAGGTTCTGGAAGATATAATTGGCCAATATGGGTTTTTTTGGGTTTTGTTTTGTAGCTAATCTCTTTACTGCTATTGTTCTGTCTCCTTTTATGCTGAGTATCTGATTATTTATGTGTACAGGTCAGAAAGAGAGGGAGAAATCTAGATATTGTAAAATGGAATTGGTTAATATTGGACCAAATAGAGATATGCACAGTATGATCAAATCATATAGGTGTATTTTTGCCTCTTAGTACTAAAGAAAATATTAGCTGTGTCTGGAATTCATAATAATTATAGTTTACATGTTCGCAATTATTTGATTTTGAATAAATCCCTGAAGTTCTGTAGAGGAGCCTTGACATTATGTTGTCCTAGAGCTCATGCCCTTTGTGACAGGAACATTTTTAAGAAGTTTAGTCTTTATTTATAACCAAATACATAATGAAGTGAAGAGGACTTTGAACCAGACCATATTGAGTTTTAATCCTAGCAACGGACTACAGGAAAGAAACCCAGCTTCTAGAGAAATGGCTGTAACACCTACACTTACAGTGCTGAAGTTTGAGTTAATGTAAAAATGGCAAACCATGGCACCTGGCATGTAAAATTGGTGTCTGATAAATGTTAGTTTCGCTTTCTTCTTGGCTGGTGATACGTGGTGTTTTTTTGTTTNGCTGGTGATATGTGGTGTTTTTTTTTATTTTTTTTATTTTTTATTTTTTTATTTTACAGGAAAAGCTCATGGAGTGAGACATCTATATACCTAGAATCTTTCATAGGCTCTTAGGTCATATTAAAATTCATACTAAATTGTTTTTTCTTTTTAACATAAAAGCAGTGCTTTGGGACATGCCTACTTTTAAAAAGAAATGAAAATGAAAAACATTTTTTAAACACTTTATAAGGACCCCATGGCTTTTTTGCAGTAAGGAGCTTTGAGTTGATATTTAGTTTTGCAGTAGTTTGGAGTCTAAGAATGGGAATAGGACATGTTTTTGCTTTTCACATGGTCAAACACATTTAAGTGAGGATTGTGGAATGGGTGCTGATATAAAAATTTATAGATAGATTAATATTGCCATTTTATAAAGCAGTATTTAATTGTTGAGGATTTTACAGATTTATGCCCTTCTTTCAGTTTATCAGATGGGCCAAATGTAATTCATACCAAAAGCAGTGAGTCGTATCAGCGGTGCATTTCAGATACGTGCTGCACCTCTAAGTCCTCATGGGCAGCAAGTCTTCTCCACTTAGTGTCCTCTCTCCATAAACCGCCCGCCTGTTTTCATTGAGTAGCTGGAATCTGAAACTTCATGTTCTAATGTGCTTGACTGGGTACCACTGTAGGGCATTTTTGGGGCATGGGGATAGGTTTCTTTAGCTGTAATTGGAATGTACTGTAGCTAGAAACTTTTTTGACAGAAGAGGAAGAGGTGGGTTTTATGAAGCCATAGGCGGTGTAAAATTGTTCCGCAGCCCTGCTGTTGTGGCNGGTGGGTTTTATGAAGCCATAGGCGGTGTAAAATTGTTCCGCAGCCCTGCCGTTGTGGCTCAGTGGTTGAGCATTGACCTGTGAACCAGGAGGTCACAGTTTGATCCCTGGTCAGGGCACATGCCCCGTTGCAGCCTTGATCCTAGTAGGGGGCGTGCAGGAGGCAGCCGATCAGTGACTCTCAACATTGATGTTTTTTTCCCTCTCTCCCCCTTCCTCTCTGAAATCAATTAAAAAAAATATTACAAAATAAAATTGTTCTGCATTTTACTGATATGCCTTGATATTTTATCAAATTGTTTCAAATATAGGACAGTGCACCAGGCATGTCTTTGAAGAAGAAATGAACTGTTTAAGGATATGCCACTGTGGGCATTCTGAATTGTCCACGGTATAGTTGTGAATTACAAATTTTATATTGATGTAAATCTGATAGAATTTGCTTGTGAAAAAGAATAGGTTCAGAATGTTATCCAGGTACCTCACGGGGTGCTGGGATAGGTATTAGTTTCATGTTTTAATGTATACAGATTTTTTTTTTTAAACATATCTTTATTAATTTCAGAGAGAGGAAAGGAGGGGGAGAGAGAGAGAGAGAGAAACATCAAAGATGAGAGAGTCATTGATCGAGCCCGCAAACCGGGCATGTGCCCTGACTGGGAATCGAACCCCGATCTCCTGGATCCTAGGTCGTTGCTCAACTGCTGAGCCACTCCCGGCCGGGCCAGATCTTTATTTTATAATTGTGAAGAAAAGGATTACAGAATATTTAAAATCGCATGGTCATTTTTAAGCAAATAGGTGCTTTCATTGTTGTTTCTTCATAAAACTACCTCTTTATATCAGAAGTTGAGAACCTCAAAGTGTATGCCTGTATCTTACTGTGCCTGCTTCTCAGAATTATCCACCCGTGTTACCAAACTCGAATACCGAAGAAACACGTGCAGGTCCAGAGATAAGCATTTGTAACTTAGAGGTTTACATTAAACAAAAACAAAATGGGATTTCTTAGCTTTGGTGAGTGCTTACTAAATAATGTTAAATTCTAGAAAGTAAGGGACACTAAATCACTGAGATACTTTTGGTAGTTTGTTTACATTTTAACTTCCGAATGAATTGTTTCCAATAAAAAAAAAATGAAAATTGGATGGGTCTGTATTTTTAGTTAGAGCTAGTATGTTTTAGTATCATTTGAATAATGCTGCACATTTTAATGATTTCATCTTTTGTATAAAATATAAATGTTTGTTTTATAATTTACCACTTTTCAATTCTTTTTTTTAGTCTTCACCTGAGGATATGTTGTTTTTTGTTTTTTGTTTTTTTAAATTGATTTTAGAGAGAGAGGAAGAGGGGAGAGAGAGAGAGAGACATTGATGTGAGAGAGAAACATTGATCAGTTGCCTCCTGTACATGCCCCCACTGGGAATCAAACCCATAACCTAGGTATGTATGTGCCCTGACTGGGAATGAACCTGCAACCTTTTGGTGCACAGGAGGACACTCCAACCAACCGAGGCACCCGGGCAGGTGCCACTTTCTAATTCTAATGGTACTCATTTGTTCATGTTTAACAGGGAATTAATTCTTTTTTGGCCTATCTAAATATGTTAATATCTGAAGCATCATAGGATTATAGAATTCTAGAGTTGAACTGAACTGTCCTATTTATTGTTGCATAACAAACTACCCCAGAAATTAAGTTCTTAAAACGAGAAACATTTTATTATCTCAGAAATCTGGGTGCAGCTTATCTGGGTGCTGGTGACTATGAGGTTGTAGGTAATCTGTCATTGGGGCTCTAGTCTCATCTGAAAGTTTGACTGGGGGAAGATCTGCTTCCAAGCTTGTTCATGTGGCTCTTGGCAGGATTCAGTTCCTGGGGGATACTGGACTGAAGGCCTCAGTTTCTTTTGGGCTGGAGGCCTCCCTCAGTCCTTTGCCATGTTGGTCCATCCAAAGGGCAGCTCGCAGTATGACAGCTGGCTCTTCTCAGAGCAGTCAGGTGGGAAAAGCAGGGCAGGTGACACCCAAGATGGAAGTTACAGTCTTTTTATAATCCAGTCTTCGAAGTGTTATCTGGTTATTTGTGCTGTTTTCCATTTGTTTAGAGGCTGCCAACCACAGAGACTTTAGTTTTCTTGTAAAGATTTCAAAAAAGATGAAAGAAAAAGATGCCCAAGATCCATAAAGTAATTTACCAAGGCTCAGAAGGTAACCTCTTGAAGAGCTTGGACTAAATCTCAAATTCATTGGTACTCAGGCCTTGTACTGTTTCTATAACAGACTATTCTCTTGAAAAATATCAAATTTGATGCAGACACTGAGGTCACTGTTGTAAGAAATCTATTAAAAACTTTCAGAGTCATTGAGAATTGACCCCAGTTTGTCATTTCGGAAAAAATGGTAGCCAAATGTGCTCACACGCACATTTATAATTGGCGTATATGTATGTATTTGTGTGTGTATATGTGTGTATGTATGTTTCTCATGAACCTTGGCTTCTGAGGGAAAGTTTGATATTCACATTTTACAGCATAAAAATTTATGCTCAAGTTATTACATAACTCTTGTGCTGTGCCTTAAAACTTTATTACTGCTTTTTAGATAATTTTTTTTGGGGGAGGGTTGTGTACATAATTTATTTTTTTATGTAAACTTTTCCCATTATAAGATCCTGTGATACATTTGTTTATAAATTTGGGTCCTCCTGCCCTTCTTTTGTATCTATTTTTATTTGTTTTTTATTTACTGGTTTGAGAGAGAGAGAGATTGATTTCCTGTTCCACTTATTTATGCATTCATTGGTTCTTCTTTTTTTTAAATATGTTTTTTTAAATTGATTTGAGAGAGAGAGGAAGGGGGAGGAGAGAGAGAGAGAAATATCAATCAGCTGCCCTCCTGCACACCCCCTACTGGGAATGGAGCCTGAAACCGGGGCATGTGCCCTGACCGGGAATTGAACCGGCAGCCTCTTGGTGCATGTGATGATGCCCAACCAACTGAGCCACACTGGCCAGGGCTCATTGGTTGATTCTTGTATGTGCCCTGACCAGGGATCAGACCTGCAACCTTCGCATATTGGGACAATGCTCTGATCAACTGAGCTACGTGTCCAGGACTGGTATCTGTTTTTAAATTAAGTGTACAAGAGATTTGCTACATGAAAAGAAATACAACCATGATGAGGTCAGACCCAGAAGGAAACAAATTCAGATGTAACACTGGGATGTGTCAGTATGGTGATTTTCCTTTTGAAAAATTCCCTTGTGAAATTTTAATGTGCATGCTATTTTTATAATGGTGATAATAAAACCTCAAACAAAAAAAATCCAGGTAGGTAATCTTACTGTGTACTCTTTGTTGTTGCACCTATTTTATGTTATAGGGGATGGGAACAAAGCCTTCTTAAACCTCATTGGAGCAAGGGGAGTCTATATTAAATATTAATCTGAGTATTAAATATGGGGAAGTATATATTAAATATAAACTTTTAGATAGTTTTAAGTTTCATTTTTGCTGGAATGGTCTTAGAACTCTAGATTCAGATTTGCAGACAAATCTTTGTTCAGCCCAGATCTGCACTGTTCAGTATGGTAGCCACTCGTCACATGTGCTTATTTAAGTTTCAGTTCATATTAAAGAAAATTAAAAATTTAGTTTCTTGGTTGCATTAGCCACATTCCAAGTGCTCAGTAGTCGTTAGTGGCTAGTGGCTGCTGAATTGGACAACACAGATATAGAACATGTTTTTCATCATAGAAAGTTATATGCCGATCGAGGCCTACTCCATTTTATGTTTGATTTTGATCATGGACATGTGTTTCAAGTGCTCATTGTTGAAATCACCAGCTAAGTTGAGCTTATTTCTTTGTTTCTATTTTCCAGTTTTTGGAGCCGTGAGGGATACCGCACTATTGTTTTAACATGCTTCAAATCAATCAGGTGAGTTTGTGTTGAGGCCTGTCATACTTGCATGGTGCTTGGGCTATAAATTGTGGAACGTTTTTACTCAGCTTTCCTATAACCATAACCTGACCACTGCTTTATAGAGCAGTTACATTGCCATCTATTCTTTATAGGCAACAGTGCAGGGCAGGTTGTTTAAGGATTATAGCGATAATCCCAAGTGGTGATAACTTTCAGGAGCATTGTGCGGGCACAGCAGGTTTGCTGGTTCTTTTTGATGTCACATCCCTCCAGGACTGGTTGCTGTGTTCAGAATGCTTACAATCGTGATCTGTCTTCAGTCGGTGGCAGTTCGTGGACTGAAAGCACTTCTAGTGACAAATCTTGTGAAGTAGGTGTATCGGTGTGTTAAAAAAAGGTTCCTTTTCTAGGGCACTGGAAAAGGCTAGAAGGAAGTGCTCTGCTAAATAAATTATAGAATGCTTTCGACGCACTGAAAGAAATATTTTTCTTGGGTCTTGGCATTTCTCCAAGATCTTTATACTCTTAATCTTAACCTTTCTGAACAAATCGGGCATTGTGTCATAACTGTCATATTAGAAAACATTTTGTTTTATTTCACATTTGCATATCAAGAGGAGAAGTTTAAGTAGATTGCAAAATCTGATTGCAAGAAGTAATTTTTGTGTGATTTGAGGAAGTAATGCAGGTCTCCCCCCTTCCCCAGCCCCCCACCAGCTTACTTTGCCTAGGGAATGTACAGTTCCTGTGCACTGCACACCACCTCTAATGACTTCCGAGTTTACACCTGGTCTAGGCCTCCTCTCTGAGCTCCAGAATCACGTAGCAGTTATCAACCTGATTTCTTCACTTGGATGTCTTTATATATCTCAGATTTAGCATGTGCCCAGGAAACAATCTAACTATTTCAGTTACACCAGACTGTTTCAGTTCCTTGTTTGGGCAAGGCCATTCCAGCTGCCGGGCCTCCACATAGAGTACCTCTGCTGGACTTCTCTCTACTTCCCCTGGGCTTGGGCCACTTGACAGGCCTAGTATTTGCTCTCCTAGCACCCTGTCTGCCCTGTTATTTAATGACATCCTGACATTTCCATGACATTTAAATATGTAATTAGTTGTTTGATGTCTGCTTATTGTAGATATATGTTTATATATCCTGTTAGCCGAATGCTCCATGAAGGCTGTGACCTTGCTTATTTACTCTTGTATCCCAGGTCCTAGAAGACTTCTTGTTGTGTATGGTTTCCAGGTATTTGCTGGATGAGTGGATGAATGGTGCAAGGCTTGTCACGAAAGCAAGGGCATCTGCATTCTTTTCAGCAATACTCACATAATTGTGTTGTCAGTTTTGGTATTATATGGTGCTTGCTCTACATAAATGCCATTAATGTAAAATCTCTTCCTCATGCAAAGTTGTTCTTTGATTTTTTTTCCCCTTGCACTAGAAAATTCTCTTGTGCAACAAATACTGCTTTCATCAAAGACATCATGAATGCCAGTTTAAAGGCATCTCAAAGCTGCACTGTGCTTAGGGCTTCCTGCACTTCACAGTGGCTGTGTGTGAATCCCCCTTGGATGCGTTCACAGAGCTTACGAGATGTGACTTGCAAACTGTGCTGTGTGACGTTGCTTCTAAATGACTGTATGGACAGCTGCCGTTAATGAGTCCAATTAGAATAACTTGTTTTATATTCTGTACACAGATGGAAATGATCATTTTGTGCCAGTCAACATCTCTGAAAATTATAGTTCATAAATGAGTCCTACTCAGGACTTACTAACTGTGGGTGCTGCTGGTCGTGTTGAGTCAGGCACCATGAACTGTTCCTAAGTGACGTTCTGTATGGCCTGCGGATCCCTGGGCTTTGGCTAGGAATCATCGTTGGCGCCCGCAGATACACCTGCTTTGTGTGTAATAGATATGTATCCGTAGACTCACTCAGGACCCTCTCTTGTTATTGAATAAGTGTTATCCCCCCAAATGTCAAGACTGAGGGGAAAAGTTAACCTAACTTGGATTGTAGATGTGATAGAGAAGCCCTAAAGTCACATGGAATTCTTCAACTTCTGAGAGATTTCATGTTTGGTCATTTTCATGGTGACTGCTTTTCCTGTAGAGGGAGTATTCTGAGATAAATGTGATGAAAGGCAGTTGAGGCTGACACTCCACTTGGAGCAGTGGAGGTTTTCACTGTGTGATTTCAACACTGTCCTTAGGGTTAGTACTAAATTTTCATTTGGGAGGTCATTTAGTTGTCTTAAAATGCCTGAATAGTACTAAATTCTTCCATGTGTGTTCCTAGTACTAATTAAAACCTAGGCTATTGAATACTAAATTATTTTATTTTTTTATATTAACCCTGCCTGGCGTTGTTATTTGGCAACTTGGGAATGGATAACATGTTCCATTAGAGTAATGACACTTCTCCCTTTAAATTAGTGCTTCTCAGTTTCACTTTTGTCTTTCAGGAGTGTGTGTTGTTATCTATGTGCAACTCATGTAGAAAAATGAGGTGCAAAAAATAAGCAAAAAGAAAAACTATCATAAATAATTCCACTATTCTTTTACAGAGACAATCACTGCTAATATTTTGGGGTGTATACTTCTAGATATTTTTCTACGCAGGTATGTTTTTGTGTGAATATATGTTATTTTTAAAAACTGAGAGTATACAACACCTAATACTATGACCTAATAATCATAGTTTGGAAGTACTAAAACCTATTTAGTCAAATCCTTATTGTTGGACTGATTTTATGTTATAGTTAGTGCCACGGTGATTTCTTTTTTTACATACATCTGTATTCCTTGGTCCATTATTTTCTTATAATTAATTATTAGAAATGGAAATACTAGTCAAAGGGGTATGTAGAGTTTAAAGATACTTAATGCATAAATACCAAAAATAACAAAATTACATTTCTTAGAAGTTTATTAGAATGACTGTTTCCTGACGTCCTTGACACATTTTCAGTGTTGGCCAATCTGACAAAAAGTGTTGCTTTCCCTTGAATTCTTATGACTTGCTACATTGGTTCTTTCAGTTTTGTCTTTTGTGAATTGCTTACATGTGTCCACTGGTATCTTTTTTTTTTTTTTTTTATAAATAAAATTTTGATGACACCCCTTTGAGAACTTTCTAAGCTAGTATTTATAGTTGTTGCTTCATATATTTTTTATTCATTATTCAATAAATAACTAATGGAAAGCTATGTAGGAGTTTGGTATAGTTTTGAGTTTTCTCCTTGATCGTTAATTATAAGTCCCGTAGGGAGAGGAAACCCACCTTAACATGAAGCTGTAGCCAATAAAAATTCAGAAGGCACATGTGCTGTGAAATAATATGTTAAAATGAGTGGCTGACGTGGGGCAAATTTTTGGGGATTAGTTGGTGAGGCACACTTGACAGGGCAGTGTGTCCGAAGGGTTGGGAAGTCTATATTAGGCAGCTGGAGCATTGGGAAAGCCCAGACAGGGGATTAAGAGAGTTCTGATTTAAAAAAAGTGCTAAGAGTTAAAAAAAAAAAAAAGAGGTCTAAATGGTTTCTTTTAAAGAGGTTTGGTAGGAGATGCTGGGAACATAGACGCCAAGAGGAAGCTCTCAGGCCTGACTCAAGTGGAATGGGAGGGTGGGTAGGACAGAACAGAATTTCGGGGCCCCCGACAGGGGAAGAGGGAGCCAGGCCTTACACTGCAAGAGTAAAGCTGCACCAAGGTGCCCTGTAAAGTGAATATGCCCTTAGGAGCCCAAGAAACAAAGGCCTAGAGTGTAAGGGATAATGATTCCTATCTCAGGTTTGTTGTGAGGAGTAATTGAGGTAACAAAGGCAGCATGCTTAGTGTTGGTCCTGAGACTGTTGCTGCTGCGATGGGTATTGATGAGTATTGGTATGTCTGTCGATGGGTATTGGTATGTCTGGCGCTGTCGCTGTTGCGGTCTGGCTCTGATTGATGAGGAAGGCGGGCGTGCAGGTTGGTCTGTTTGGGGGAGTGGAGCACTTGGACCTTTCTCCAGACCGGGTCAGCTACATGCCACGGGCACCAGGAACTCTATTGTTTTGTCTTAAAACCAGCTGCTACTTACTTTTAGTCATTTTTTTATCCAAGTCTAGTTGTGGGTAAGATCTACAATCTGCCCATTTCTCTCGAAGCCGCAGGAAGCAGCCTACAGTTAGGGGGTTGAAAAATAGTAGACTTCTCTGGGAACGTTAGCTGCCGTGTTGGGAATAGACCCACGGAGAGGCCTGCGCCGTGAGGAACCGAGGCCGCCTGCCGGCAGCTGGCAAGGAACTAAGGCCTCTAGCCTCAGGGTGTGACTGAGCCTCCTTTGAAGCAGATCTCCCAGCCCTTGTCAGGCTTTTTCAGCCCTGGACTACTGACTGGCCCACTGACACCTTGACTGCAGCCTCATGAGAGGTCCTGAGCCACAAGCACCCAGCTAAGCTTCAACTTGATTGATGACCCTCAGAAACTGTTAGGGGTGATTTGTTATGCATCAGTAGCATATACCTTTCCTTTACAAACAACTTGAGAACATATAAATATGTCAACAGTGGTTTTTAGACACTAGATGACAGGTGGCAGCAAACTGCGATCCCTGAGAATGGAAACAAACGAGATAAGCCCTTGTATTGCACAGTTTACAGTAGAGCCATGAGGTCTTTCACAGGCTGCAGTGCAGGAGGAAGGACCAGAGCAGAGCCCAGTCTTGTTGAGATAGGAACACAGATAAGAGTTTGGGAAGCCCAAGGTGGTGAGAATTGCAGGGCAGAGTACTGGGGGAAGGGAGCTGTGAGGGGCAGGTGTATTGAGTGTACGTTACAATCGAGGTGAACTCAAGTGTGCATGCATGCTGGAGATCTGCAGAGGGCTCCCCTTCAGCCTTTGGCTGAGTTTTGATCTGTATGTGGTGAAAGGATCTACTGAAAGCCAGGGAAGGAACTATTGGAAAACAATTTTTGGAGCTCACAGAATGCTGGGAATAGTTTATGTCTCCACTTGTCCACAGTGTAAA